AGGAAAGCGTAATTATAGTCATTCCCTCCTATCTCTCCAACAAGGAAGAGGGATTTGTTGAAATAGTCATTGCAATCTGCACATAATGCTCAGCACATTAGACTCGGCATTAACGTATGCAACTTCCGGAGTACTGCAAATTTTATTCTACAACCTTTGGTTGTGCTGCAGAGAGAAGGCTTCAACTGCTCAAACCATCCAATTTGCATGCTCAACGACATGTTCGTCCACAACAAGAGCTCAGCACCAATCTCTCTGAAGAATGAACGGTCCATTGCTGTTGCACCTGAAACTGCAAAGTTCACCCCTCGATGGAAATCCTTTTCTTTTCCTAGGTAAGGAGGTAGCAATGGGAGCCCTAGTGCTTCAGCTGCAACATAATTAAGAATAATTCAATACATGGAAAAAAAAAAATCATAGATCACAGTTCAGTTCATAGAGAATTACCGATGAAGTCCACAACCAATCGACCATCTGAACACCGGCCAGTTGCATGTTTAAAGTAAGTCATGCCATAGGGGAGATTGCTGATTGAAGGGAAGAAAACCGCCCCGGAATTGAGGAAGTTTCCAGTGTCGGCTAAAGAGTCTCCGAAGCTAAATACTGAGGTATATTGTTGCTCAGTAGAGGCAACAAGTTGGATAAAGGAGAAGAAGAGGAAGAGAGTGAGGATTAGGAACTTCATTGGAGAACAAGAGGAAACAACTGGATTGACTACTAACAAGGAATCAAGTCCTTGATATTAGAAGTTCACTGTACTGGCTTGATTAATTCATCTAACTTTTTGTCGGCACAAAGTTTCTATGTTTTAGGTGCAATAAATTCATCAGTTGTAACAGCCAGCGGACTTTTCGTTGATTAGGCAGGAATGAGCGGACTTGGGCAGCTCCATCAACCAAATTGGTTCTATCACAAGTTTCCCACGAAGTACAAAAGATCAAAGAAATTAAATGAGATAATAAAAGGCCTTAGCAAAGTAAGGACAAGTCCAGCATACGCGAAATTAAGTCTTTAATAAAAGAGCTACCAAAGTGGTTTGTAGTGAAATCATGAATGAATTTATGCAGACCCATCCTTTGTGATCAGCGAAGAGTCCTGGACCGTTCAGCTAGGGGAGGGGGCCAGTTTCACGGTTGGATGAGCAAACAAATTTAAGTTTGTTATCAACTAACTAAGAGGGTGTTTGGAGAGGGCATATTTTTAGAAGTTTTTGATGTAGAAGAGGACTTGGAGGAGGCACTAGAGGAAAAAATAAGTGGATCTAGTAGAAATCAAAAATCACTCTGTCAAAAGAAAGCAACATTTGCACTGTCAGTTGGAAACGGGTAAACAAGCAAGGCTCATGTTTTTCCATGAGCAACACTCTCTCGGTGCGTTTCGAGACTGTCTGGAGGGCAAAATTGTCATTTTCATGCTTTATATGATGTTTTAGTGTTTTATTTCAGATGTAATAAGTTGTACGGTCGAGATAAACTCTTGTTTAGGGTTGATAAGTTGATCTAGTATAAATAGTTGCTAGACAATATTCTGTTTTACCATTGAATAATATTTTACAGCCTAGAATTAGGGTTTCTTCCAATATCTGAATCTTGATACAATTCGGTGGTGGTTTTTTTGTATCAATTGTTCTTGTTCTCTTGGTTTGGTCATCTTCCATGTACCTTCGGCATCAGTTTTAAAGCTACATTAGCATCCGGTTGCTTTTTGGTTTTTATAGTAAAAGTTGTTTGGCTAGAATGGTAATTTATTTTGTCAAGTCTAGGCTTATTTGAGTGAGCTTCATTTGAAAAAACTGGAGTATATCAGCTTTTAAAATGGTGCTTATAAGCTAACTTATTTAGTATTTTACCAAGCATATACATATATCAAAAAGTTGAATTAAACACCCTCTAAATCGTTCCTTCTATTTTTTTTTTCAAAAGATTGTTCTTCCTAAATTTGACAATACAAAGACTCTAGTACTACTCAATTCAACTATCCCAGTGAGTTAATGAAACTCAAGTTAGAAGTTGTTTGCGTTGAAAGTTGGTTTATTTGTCGAATCCATTACACGTTTATCGATTACAATGAATTCAAAAGAGTTAGTCTTTTTATAGGACTTCTCGCTTACACAAATAAAACAAAAATTACAACTCTCTTCAAACACACGCAAAGGACGTTTATCACCCGCTGCTTGTGTGAAATCTTTGCATGCGTCGGGGACAAGTTAGTCTGTGGACCGTCGTGGATCAGATCCAGTTGACAGAACAAAAATTCAATGCTCTTGCTTCACAAAGAAAACAATCGCAGAAGTAAATAATCTCGACCAAGCGAGATTACTACTCTTCTCGAGATCAAAACCAAGTTTGATCCGGAGAAAAGGTGAATGAGCCGCAGATCTCTCGAACTCTCTCTCTTTATGCTGAAGAACTTCGCCAAGATTTTCTAGCCTCTCTAAAAATCATGTATCACTCTTTAAAGGGACAACACCTCGCCTAAATTTTAGATCCCCTGTTATAGGACCTAAGGCTTGTATTTATAGGTTTCGGTTGTAGCGTTTTAGGATAGGAATTGATGATTTGACCTTATTCTTAGTTAATAACCGCTTAACCACGTTTAGGGATAGTATCAAAGCAGTTGGGGAGGCTCTGGAACGAAAGAATCCCGAGAAAACTATTGAAAAACGTATTTTCGGCATTTCTGGGCGCGAGCCACCCTATGGTAGCTCGGCCTTGGCTGAGCCACCTGGCCTTGGCCGAGTCGTTTTGATTCTACTCGGTCGCCAAGGGCTTTTCGTTTTGGTCTCGTTTCACCATTTTGCGCATTTCGTCATTTTGTTGACTCGTACACTTTCACTACAACAAAATACATCATTACCGACGAAACAAAAACGTCGGCAAAAGTTTAAAAAACGTCGGGAAAAATCTTTCCCGACGCAAAATGCAGCGTCGCTAACGCGTCACCAAAAGTGCGTCAAGGAAAATATTTGGCGACGCAAACACACTGCGTCGGTAAAAGTCAACACTTTTGGCGACGCTTCATGCGTCGGGAAAAGTACATCTTTTAGCGACGCATAGTATTTTGCGTCGGCAAAAGTATGCATAATTTTTTCATATGCAAAAATGCGTCGGTAAAACTTGTACTTTTGGCGACGCATGCAGCGTCGGCAAAAGCTAATGCGTCGGCAAAAATATAGCTTTTAGCGACGCAAAACTGTTCGTCGCTAAAAATTATACTTTTAACGACGCAAGTTAGCGTCGGCAAAAGTGTAGCTTTTAGCGACGCAGAATGAAGCGTCGCTAAAAACTATATCTTTGGCAACGCAAAATAGCGTCGCTAAAAGTTTTTTTTTGCGACGCAATATAGCGTCGACAAAAGTATTACTTTTAGTGGCGCTTTTTAGCCTACACTGAACCTGAACATCCACAAAAAATTTGCTCTCATTTACATCAACAAAGAAACTAGACATCAAATTATACTCCAAACAAGTTACATATTAAGATAAACAAAGAATTTGCTCCCATTGCAAAATAGTTACATTCATTTCAATTTCCAAGTCAACACTCAAAGGTCTATTTACATATTCCAGTTTGCTTGTAATCCATGAAGGAAAAAAAGAAACACAATGGAAAGAGAGGAAAATGTGAAAGAAAAGAAAGAAGGAAACAACTATTTAAATATTCCAGTTTGCTTGTAACCTCATGACAAGTTTCTCTCTGCTTCCAAGATAATCAAATCCATGTTCCTGCATAACAAGAATAAAGCAGCATCAAAAAATAGCCGTGAATGCGAGTGTAAAAATTTCACAAAAGATCTTTGATGCAAATACCTGTAAATCCTATAGACACGATTTCAAATACACCATTTCAGGATTTCTAATTATATGATGGCCAGTTGGTAATAAAAATTAGTTGCAGATCTAAGTATACAATGATGTAGGTACATTGGCCAATCATTGGTCTATTGTGAAAGTTCAATTGCAGTTTGAGTACCTAAAATACATATACCTTAGTTTCTCTACAATTTGATATCCAGTATTCTCATACCTCTTGCAATCGACGTATTTTCCTTTAGTTAATTTGTAGCTAAATACTACAGTTCTCATCTGAGTCACAAGTGATAGGTTTTTTTGGACACTAATATTTGCCATGAAGCCGTCTTCACAACCTCCCACCATTCAAGTGAAAAGTCCTCTACCTGTCGATATGCTGCTGGGTTGAAAAAAGGGGTCCTCTACCTGTCAATAACTGATTTTGGTGCCTTCTTCCACTTTTCCTAGTCTTTTCAAATATCAGTATCATTGTTTTAAACTAGCAAGTATAAACTCATCATAACATCATATACTTAGTAGAAAAACAAGAGCAATAATCTAGTTCAGCATTCAGTAATTATCAGACATAATAGCAATTTCACTAATTAGTAATTATCACCTTGTCTGCAAAATAAAGAGGGGAGAAGTTTTCTGTTTGGCATGAAACAATTAGGTACCTCTTTATTACCTTTTAATAGGACCACAAGCACTCTGTCAAGGTCTTCTCACAAAATTCCCATACCAGACTATTATCAGATGAAATGCATTTGCCAGCTAGAAAAAGTGCACGTATAGAGTGCTCACAAGCAGAGTGATACTCTTCCGCTGACTCTGTGTCTAAGACCCGACAAACTTGAGTATTTCACATCAAGGGTTTTTGCAATACAATCGATGCTCCAGACTTCATTTAGAGTTAAATCACCAAATAAAAAGTGCATACAATTACACATCAAAATCCAATCAAGTTAACTGATGATCAGGATTATCATTCAGGCTATTTTCAAATATGCGACGTATTTAACCATGCGTCGGGAATAAGCGTTGGGAAAAGTGTAATTTGTTGTAGTGATGTCAGTCAAAGCGGTAAAATCTCGAGATTCACAGGGTCTTTTTCTCATATGAAAATAGCAGATAAAATATAAAACAGAATATTACTTCCTACATGTCTTTTTCTCATATCACTCCAATACATGTCTTATAGTTTGAAGCAGCGTGAGCAAGGCGATACAGATGCTGGCCTATTATGGAAAAAGTGTAGAATGAATTGTACTTGTTTATTATAAGTTTATATAAAAACACACACCTAATATTCTACTTAAGCTTACCAAGATCGCTGAATTCTTCATAGTACTTCATTTGCATGAACTCCATGCCAGCTCTAGTAGTTCGAAGAGAATGTTTCAGTTCCTGTAAGAAAATACATACTTTTTGAAAAGATTAAGTGAAGCTAAATCTAAAGAAATTTGTGCAGGATAGTGAAACTTTACCTGAATATTCCTTTGTTGTTGATCCAAAACTAGGTGCTGCTTCCGAAGCTTATCTTTCGATGCCTCCTCTTCTTTTGAGTTAGCGAAGCTCTCTTTCTTTGATTTGATGAATTTATTCTCTTCTGCCTCAAGCTTCAAAATAAAAGCGAAAACACGGAATCATATAATTGTGCATTATTTGTTATAAGAAATTCACACCACAAAGTATAATAAAGAAGGAATATAGAAAAGCAAAAGAATAACATCAAAGGATAATATACATTCCTCTCACAAGAAACAGGTGCAGAATCAACCGAAACCTTTAGCTTAGTAAAGGATTTATTTTCATCTTTCAGCCCCTTCATAGTCATTTTCACCTATGGAATTTATATTGAAGGTGAGTTTATAGCACAATTATCAAGATAGAGATCAAGGTTCACTAGCAATCTAACATATATCATACAAATTTGGAATCCGATGTAAAATAAGAGATGATATCCGCAATGTGTATCAGTACTCACAATAATATCATCTGACTTTATTCAGCATACTGGTTAATATCCGCAAGCATACAGGTATACTAATTACAGAACCAATCTACTTCGTAATCACACAGCAAATACAAGATGACTGTGGGAAGGGTTACCTTGCTAGCTGTTGATAATCAGAAAATATTGGTTTCTCCCAAGTTAAATGTCCCAAAGTGCTTGCCAGGGCCGCATATTTATTTCCATTTCCAGATATCTTAACATATTTTCTAATTATTTCCTGCATGCATAAGTAATTGCCATTATTGAACAGAAAAATAGGAAATTAGAAACTGGAATTGCAAATAATCTGCACTTGTTGAGTAAGTACCTGACTTTGAGAATTCAACTCATCCACAAGAAGCTCCGATATAAAAATCCTAGGCAAAGGCAAGCTACATTTGTTACTGTACTCAGTCTCAGGAGGAGCAAACCACAAAGCTCTCAGCTTTTTTGCTGGAAAAACCTCAGTTCATCTCGTTGAGTATAACCAAAATCCAAGAAGAATGACGCAATGGAATCAATCCCATGGCCATCTACCTTCAAAATTTAGAAAAAAAAATACATAGTATAACAGTAATAGAATCAAGCGGGGAAAAAAACAAAATTGCATCATTTACCCCAAATGTTCGGAAAGCGAAGTGATCGTAACACACAGGACTGCCATTAGACGAGCTCACAGATTCAAGAACAGATTTTGCAGTCGGATTCCCAGTCAAGTAAACTTTCCCCATGCTCGAGAGCGCCGATCTAAAGAACGATTGAGATTGCGAGCCCTATGATATATTAAAAACAGCAATTTATCTACAGAACGCCTCTAATTTAACGAATTAAAAAGAGAATAGTATAAATACCATCGGAGCTTGATCGGAGCCTGCAGCGGAGGCTAGGGTTAGCGAATTAAAAAGAGAATAGTATAAATACCATCGGAGCTTGATCGGAGCCTGCAGCGGAGGCTAGGGTTAGCGTTCGGGTTCGGAGCAAGATCGGACGGTGGAGGGAGATTCTTGAAGGGAGTCAGAGGTGAGATCGGTGGGGGTTTGATCGGAGGGAGGAGGAGAAGATGGCGGGGATTCTTGAAGCTAATGTTGCTGACCCGACGGAGGCGGCGGTGAAATTCGACGGAGGCGGAGATCTTCGACGATGGCGACGGTGAGCTTCGACGAAGGCAGCGAACTTTAGAGAAGAAGCATGGGTTTGGGGGCGATTTTCTGATGAGAGAGAGCGGGGTTGGGGGTTTTGGCTCTTCGTGAAAATAAAAGGGGGGAATTTTCCCTCCTTGTACGAGTTGGAAAATTTCGGGGGGCGGGGGTTGTCATTTGGCGACGCGGACAAGTGAAGAACCGTCGTAAAAAATATAACTTTTACCGACGTCAAGCAGATACGTTGGGAAATGAATACTTTTAGCGACGTTAGTTTAATACGTCGCGATAAATACATACTATTAGCGACGCTAATCCTAAAACGTCGTTAAAAACTATACTTTTACTTACGAAAATGAAAAAACGTCGGGAAATCCATAACTTTTACCGACGCTAAGTTAAAACGTCGCTAATAATATACATTTTTAGTGACGCTAATTATAAACGTCGGGAAATATATATTTTTTGCCGACGCTAACTAAAAACGTTGGGAAAAACATAATTTTTGCCGACGTTTTTAACCATGCGTTGGGAATAAGCGTCGGGAAAAGTGCAATTTGTTGTAGTGTTTGTTGACTTGCTTCGTGCACTCCTTAGCTCTTTTACGACACCGGATAATCCCGTTTGACTAAGATAATGTCGTTCATCACCTTCTCTTTATTTTGAGCTGTGTACGGGAACCTATAGGCAATTTTGACGCCTACAGATACCCCCTCTAAAGTGTTTCAGTCTTATTTTTTTTATAGAGGAGCTTGGAATACTTTGAATATGATACGCCCAACCTTCAATTCGTTGACTTCTTTAGCTTTCAGTTTATTCGGTATTTTGTCGAATAGCTAAATTTCTTTTGGTGCTGCATTTATCGTCTGACCGTTGTCGAAATATTAAACTGAGACTGGCGTGTTGATATGTGAATTAGCTCATGTCATTGAATCAACGTTAGAGTTCATATGTGAATTGCGATTGAGCTCCCCGAGGTTAATTCGGAAATGAGAATGATCCTGAGCCTTATTTTGGCGAAGTTATCGACGTGTTGACTGGCGTTGATTTGCATTGAACAGTGTTTGATTCGTGTTGACCGACGTTGACTTTCATCATCACGTATCGACCGGTGTTGACTCTCATCGTCACGCGTTGACCGACATCGACTATCATCGTCACGCGTCGATCGGCATCAACTCTCATAGTCACACGTTGACTAGCGTTTGACCTTTGTTGTAATGCGTTGACTGACGTTCAACCCTTGTCATAACGCGTTGACCGGTATCGACTCTCATCGTTACGCGTTGACAGGCGTCGAATCTCATAGTCACACGTTGACCGACATTTAACCTTTGTCGTAACGCGTTGACTGACATTCGACCGTTGTCGTAACGTATTGACTGGCATGAACACAGTTTATACTCATATATCAACTGGAGTCTGTTAGACCCTAGAGGGGGGGGGGGGGGATTAGGGTCTTATGCTAATCTAATCCGATTATATGCCAATTAAAACTTATTAACAAGTTATCCTAGCAAGTATAAAATACAACAATGAATGTGAGCTAGGATAAGCAATATGAACAACAAGATATATCCTAACAAAGAGATATATGCAATGTATGTGCAAGGATATATAAACTCAAGGGTAAACAATCTAAACTAGATAGTGGGCAATATAATCAACAAGAAATAAACAAAGGCGATATAAGATATGAACATAAAAGAGTGCGCCAATGCAATCACAAACAAACAATATGATTACGGAGTTCGGTCCCCACGACCTACATCTCCGCTCCTCACCCGAGGAGATCTCCACTATCTCAACCGGGTTTTCTACGTTCACCCGAACAACGTTTACACCTCGTAATACAATCACTATGCAATCACACCTCACACACTAAGTGTTGGTCCTAGCCCGTGTCCTCCTCCTCAAGTGCTCGGTTACAACCTCTCCCTAGGCACGTCAACCGACGCCACTCCTCTTGGATTCGACCCCGTCTCTCACCACACACTTCTCTCGGTGTACAAGTGTATTACAAGTGAATCCTCACAATTAGGCTCAATACAAAGTGTTTGTTCTCTACAATGAATGAGAACGAATTATAAGCTCACTCTCTAAGTTACACAATCCCACAACCCAATTATACTATGAATGTAAATACAATAAGCTCAATGGTTGTGTGTATACAAAGAGATAAATAAAATCAATTGAACTAAACTCAATATAAATCTAGCTTATGAAAATTATAATCAAAATAATAAATTGCTAGATGAGTTTAGAAACACTTCTCTAAAGATGACAAGAGTGTGGGAGAAGAGTGAATGCTCAAACACCAAAGGATGATCTCCACTTGCTCTTGTGAAATTTGCTTCACAAACAAAACTCTTAAACACTCTTTTAAACAAATACAAAACACCCTTAAACTTGTTAAAACAATTCTCTTGGTTTTGTTGAAGGAGAACAGCAATAGGGTATTTATACCCACTCAAAAACTCAGCCAAAACCCCTAACAAAAGACAAAAACAGCCCTAGCAAACAGCTCAGAAAAATAGCCATTGGGAGCCAACGGATACATTGGCGGTCGACCAGAAATTCTGTCGGTCGACCGACGGAGAACAAAAACACGAAGGACTGTTCTGGACCATCATCGGTCGACCGGTGCGGTCGACCGATGGAGCTTTCGGTCGAATAGACTTAGTAAAATATGTATAAACTGATATTCAAGTCTACAAACTAAGAATATAATATTTTCACAAAATTGCATATTCTATGCAATGTTTTCAAAAACACAATAGTAAATATGAAATATGTGATTTCATATTATAAACATAAAAACTCAAAAACTATGTATGTATATATATAACTATATATATGCATAGAAACCAAAACTTATGTATATATATAACTATATATATACGAAGAAACCAATAAGTGTGTGTGTATAGATATTGAGCTTAGAGTATATAACACACATAATATAAAATCTAAAACTACATTACCCAAGCAATCTTGATCTTCAATTAAGCTTGACTTGGTACACTTACGGATGAAGCTTGAACTTGATCTTTAACTTTAATTGTACGTTACTTCACTCCACAATTCCGCCAACCTCCTCTTGATATGATCGTGTAGGCTCAATCCATCCAACCTCCAACAACGTTGTTTGTCTACAATATATAAGAATGTACAAACACTAGACAAACAACATTAGTAGTAAATTGTTTGTTAAACATCATCAAAACAAAGAGGCCAACAGAGTCTACACAGTTTAAGCTCAACCGGTGTTGGAGCGGGGAGGACCAGTTTATACTCGTATACTCTTGCGAGTTTCAGGAATCAGTTTAACCTCATGTATCTGTCAGAGGTTCAAGGAGATACAGTTTAGACTCGTATACTCATTGGAGTGTGAATACGCACCTCGAATACGTCAAAAACAAGCGAAATGGGTAAAAATGCATACGAAAACACCCCTAAGAC